CCCGCTGCCGGTGGTGCCGCCGCTCCCGCCGCCGCCGCTGCTCCTGCTGCTGGCAAGAAGGAGGAGAAGGTGGAGGAGGAGGAGGAGGACGACGATATGGGCTTCGGTCTCTTCGACTAAGTGCTGAGAGGTACGCAAAAAAATTTATGGTTGGGGGTCCCCATGAGGACTGCCATTTTTAATTAAAACTAGCCGAGGGCGGATCTACGTATTTCACACATGTGATCTGCACATTGAATTTGTTTCCTCCCACTTGAATGGGTGGTGGTACTATTTGTTCATTCTCGCTTTCTTTTCTTTTGTCATACTGCTTTTTCGTTGTTGTTGTCTTCTTGTTTTTCCTTTGCAGTGGAACTCGCACCCGCTCCGCGGTATTATTTACCAAGCAAGATGTCCTCGCAGCAGCTCGCGTGCACGTACGCCGCGTTTCTCCTGGCTGACAGCGGCAAGTTTGATGCCGACAGCCTGTTGGCTGTGACGAAGGCCGCCGGCGTTGAGGTCAGCAAGGGCATGGCCTCGGCGTACGCCAGCATCATCGGCAGCGTCGACATCAAGGACGTGCTCTCCAACCTCGCCTTTGGTGGTGGCGCACCCGCTGCCGGTGGTGCCGCCGCTCCCGCCGCCGCTGCTCCTGCTGCTGGCAAGAAGGAGGAGAAGGTGGAGGAGGAGGAGGAGGACGACGATATGGGCTTCGGTCTCTTCGACNGCCGCTGCTCCTGCTGCTGGCAAGAAGGAGGAGAAGGTGGAGGAGGAGGAGGAGGACGACGATATGGGCTTCGGTCTCTTCGACTAAGTACCGAGTCCGTTTTTCAGAGGATTCCACACATACAGTCATTTCTCATTTTATGGGTTAGCTATCATCTAATAGAAAAGAGAGTCAGACCGCTCTGCCTCTATGCACACGCCTGCCCTGTTCGTTCGTGGTGTTTGTTCCTTCCATCCTTCCTTATTCTCTGAATTTTTTCTTGTTGTTTGTGTGTGCGCTTCTTGGCTTCTCTTGTTGTGTTGTGTACGACGTATGCGTAGTTGAAGCAAAGTATCTACAGCTGCAGGGAGGACGTGACCCGATCACTCATGACACGAAGTTCGGCAGAAAGTGTCCCCCAGAGCCCAATTCTATTTGTTTCCTACAATGAAAGCGGTGAGAACTCCCGTGCTGATGACCTCTTCCCACACCGGGACCGTCGCGTGCTCATTCTCTACGTTGGCGGTACCATCGGCATGAAGCGGACGCCGTCTGGCGCGCTGAAGCCGCGCAAGGGGTACCTGACGCAGGTGGTGCGGGCAATGGGGGAGCTGCAGCAGCGCCCCGAGATCGCGCCCTTTGACGTCGTGGAGTACGACGAGCTACTGGACAGCAGCGATATGGACGGGCGCGACTACTTGCGCATTGCCCACGATGTGGCGCACCACTACGACGACTACGATGGTTTTTTGGTTCTGCATGGAACGGACACGATGCACTACACTGCCAGCGCGCTGAGCTTCCTCCTGATGAACCTCGCAAAGCCCGTCGTGTTGACGGGGTCGATGGTGCCGCTGGTGGAGCCGTACAGTGACGCGCGGCGCAATCTCGTGATCAGCCTTATGTTGGCGTCCAACCCAGCCATTCGGGAAGTGTGCGTCTTCTTCAACGACAGCCTGCTGCGTGGGAACTGCTGCTGCAAGATGCACCACACATTTGGTGCTTTTTGTAGCCCCAATTACCCCGCGCTCGGCGTGGTGGAGCCGACAGGCTTTGAGCTGCGCGAGCACCTGCTGATCTCCCAGCCCGGTGGCCCGCTGAAGGTTCAGTCCAACATGAGCGGCCGCGTCATGGTTTTCACGCTCTATGCCGACTATGATATGAAGGTGCTGACGCAGCTTCTGCTGGAAAGCTCGCAGGACGCGATCCACGCGAAGGATTCGCTCTCCGCGGCGGGGAAGAGCAGCAAAAGTGAGAGCGCACCTGACGCGAGTGCGGTGCCGCCGCCGCGTGGTCGTCCGCTGATGGACGCAGTGGTTCTGGAAATAACCGGCGTTTCTGAGCTCAAGGGTGATTACTCAGCGTCGCTGCGAGAGTTGGCGCGTGTGGCGGAGGAACGCGACATTGTGGCGTGCGTGACGGTGCGGGAGCCGTTCGGCAGCCTCTCCGCCGAGGAACAGCGGCGACTGCGCCTCGTCTCGCCGTATCTCATCTACTTGCGGATGACGACGGCGACGGTGGAGGTGAAGCTGATGTATCTCTTCGGGAAAGGCCTCTCGCCGGCTGCTGTGCGCAATATAATGCCGCGCAACCTCCGCGGCGAGATAACGCCCGGTACGTCCTTCGTGGCGAACCTGTGAGGAAGACGCGAGTGAGTGGATTAGGTGCTTGCATGCATGCATGCAGAAAGGCGTGCAGCCATGCCGCTGGTCCGCAAGTCGCTGCCCTCTGCTTCCAGGAGGGCCGGGAGAGGGAAAAAGAAAACGCGTAAGGGAAGGGAAAGGATGGAGATCAAAAGTAAAACATGAATTGGGGCATGGAGGAGAAATGGACGGGTTTTCCGTGCTGCGTTGTTCTATTAACACACCCACATAAATACACAGACGCAACAAATTTTATTTTATTTTATTTTTTCGCTTGCTGCCTTAGTTTCCTCTCGAAACACTCAGCCCGGCTGCCACACACACGCACACAGGGGAAGAGAAACTCTGTTTGCTGATGGTAGAGGGATGGAGACAGGTACCAGCAGCAGCAACCACCACGCCCTGCAGCAGGAGCTGCACGCTGTGACAGATATAAAGACACGCCTCACCATCCAGATGGAGGGGCTGCAGCGGGAGTTGGCTCAGCGGCACCTGCAGCATCCGGGCAGCAGCGCAGTGGATACCGGTAGGGCCGCAGCCGACTATCTAAAGCTTGAAAAAGAGAACAAATTGCTGCGGGCCCAAATTGTTATGCATCTCGAAAGGGAAGAACGACGACAGCGGCAGCAGCAGCAGCAACAACAGGAGGGGGATAGGCAGGCTCACACATTTCAGTCGTCTGTGGCACGGACAGAGTGCAGCATTGACAGTGTGCGGCTCCCCACGATTGAACTGCTTCGTGCCGTGCGGGCCACATTCGGCCCCGGCAGAGTCGCGTTGGACGACGGCACGTCGGTGTCTCTTGAGTACGTGCACGACCATATCGTCGTGCGTGGCCCGCAGACGTGCCGCAATGCCTTTGTGGCGCAGCTTCTGCACGCTGTGCTGAAGCAGATTGACGGCGCAGTGCAGCTGCCGCAGCGACGTGACGGCGACGAGAAGCCTCACAATGTGAGCACTGCTCCTGCCGAGCCCCCTGCACTGGTGGGAGGGGGGCTGCAAGCGAAGGGCAGTGTTGCCTCGCCACTCGATAGCAATGACGGCTGCGAGCAGCTCCTGCACGCGCTGCGCCGAGCACTAGACATTGAGCGCGTGGAGTGCGAGAAGGCGCGCATTGCGCTGCATGATGCGGAGCACGAGTGCGCGCTGAAGGAGGCGGCTCTGCGCACCAAAGACGCGCGGCACACCGAGGAGAAGCAGCGCCTAGAGGAGCGGGTGCGGCAGCTGGAGCTGGATCTGGGGCGCAAGAAGGACAGCCTCCACATTGCCCTCAACCGGCTCCAGGAAAGAGAACAACAACCACAACAGCAGCAGCAGCAGCAGTGGAAAAACAACTGCAGCACCGACATGAGGGGCCAAGTTGCTGCTTCCAGTGCATCGCCGCCTCTACACGACACAGATCTTGATGCTCTCCTTGAGCAACCGGACCCGGTGAGATCGCACGTGAGAGTGGTAGCAGCGACAGAGCGACATGATGGCCGGAGTGGTGCATTGTGCCGCACGCCACAACGCAGCGGCCGGAGCAGGACCAATAACGGTGGCAACGGTGCTGCTGTTGGCGGATCGCCTTCACGTGGGGAGACGCAGCGCCGCGAGTCATTGGAAGAGGCCATGGTTTTCCTGCAGCGGGAAATGGAGCTGCTGCGCGAAAACAAGGAGCGCCTCTCGCGGCAGCTTGAGCTGAGTACAGAGGTGGCGCAGCAGCAATGCGATCGCATGCGGAGCGTCGAGTGTGCGACGCACCACTTGTGCCGAGTCGTGCTGAGCAGCAGCGAGTTGGCGACTGCTGCAGTGAAGGGCGCAGCAGCAGAAGCAGCGGCAGCAGCAACAACGACGACAACTCCCCGCATTTTTCTGTACCGAGGCGGTACGGAGAATGCACGACGCGTGTGGGCGCTGGTGCAGACGCTCTCCAGCAGCGCCGGCGGTGACGTGTCGGTGGAGCAGCGGCTCACTGGCATCGCGACGCTGCTGGAGCTGCAGCACAGCGCGCAAAAGGCGACGCTCGACTTTGCTCTACACGAGCGCGACGCCGCACTGCAGGCGCNGCGTGAGGAGGCGCTGCTCCGTGGCGGGAGTGGCACGGCTGCAGCGGCAACGGCAGGCGCAGTGGCGTCATCACTGCTCCAGAGCGGTGGGGCTGTTAGCACAACGACGACAACGGCGGCGACGGAGGCGGGGGGACTGCGGCCAGCCGACGGAAAGGTGCAAGTTGCACTCGAGCGAGAGAACGTGGCGTTGCGCCGCGAACTGCAGCAGTGCTTCGAAGACATGCGCAAGCTTGGCCGCGCCGTTGCACAGGCGCAGACGCAGCAGCAAGCGTTGCAGAATCAACTCCGTGTGAGTGAGCGGCATGTGCGTGAAAAGGAAGAGGCGATGCGGTACCTCGAGCAGCGGCAGCGCAGTGAGTTGCTGGCTGCGAAAGAGCAGGAGAGATCGCTGGAGCTGCGGCTGCGGAAACTGCAACAGCAGCGAAAGCAAGAGGAAGACGCGTCGCATCCGCCGGCCGGTGCCACTTACTTGTATCGAGCTCCACGGGGGGCGGCGGCGCATCTTGTGACGACGCCGTCCCACAGCAACCACGCGGTAAGCACCAACACAACTACCCTTAACGACAGCAGAAACAACAACAACAACCCCGCCGCCGCCGCCAACAACAACAGCTACAGCTACAACAGCAATACCAGCAACGGTTACGAGTTTCGTGACCGGCCGAACCACTCTGCCAACACCGGCGACGAAGAAGATGGGTGATGCAGTGGCAACGAATTGGTCGCCGTCAATGCTGTTGCGCAGAGAGAAGTTCGAGGGGGTGCTAGACGCCATACACTCTCGCTGAGCGAGGCAGAGAGAGAGATGTATGTTTCTGTGTGTGTGTTTGTGTGTGATGGAGCTTCGCATGTTGTTCCATTCGGCGAGGTTGAGTCTCTTGTGTGGGCTTCGTTTCCCCTGCTTTATTGCTACTGCCTTGTGTGTGTGTGTGTGTGTGTTTCTGGAGGCACGCGCATCTGTTTCTTTCGCCGCTCTGTTGCGAAGCGTGCTAGTAATATCGCCGAGTAGCAGCTTTCAATAAAGGGGCGCCAATCCCCAGTTCCGGTATCCGTGATTGGGCCTTTGAAAGAGAGAGAGAGAGAGAGAGAGAGAGAGAGGAAGCGAGAAGGGGACACATAAACATATAACGAGTTAAGGAAGAAGGGGAAACGAAAAGAAATAACACACAGGCGGTGACGAAATGACAACTGACGACAACGAGGAGTCCGGGTCCTCGTGGAACTCACTCTTCCTCCCCCTCGAGGAGGAAGTCATCTTCGCATCCTTCATCACTCTCTTCTGCCCGACGCAGCCTTCGCAGGGGCGTGAGCAGCAGGAGCGAGAGCCGCAGCATCAGCAACGCCGAGTTTCCACCGTGGACGAGGCCGACCAGTACTCCGCCGCCGAGGGGGAGAATTTACCGCGTAACGCTACGGGTGAGGACACGCGGTCACCGCTCTTTCTTCTCTGCGGAGAGCGCGCTGACTCTGTGGCGTGTGTGCTGCGAAACCGTCAGGTCGTGTTCTTTGACATGACGGATGAGCGACATGGCCCCAAGGAGGTGCGCCGTCTGCGCGGGACAAAAAATCTGCGCGGCTGCAGCTCCTCCGAGGCGACGTGTGCCTCGCTGATTCCCATTGAGGTGGCATACATGTGCCGTGTGCCGGCTGCGGCGATGCCGCCCGCTACTCCGTCCCCTGATGCTGCTGGGGGTGGTGGTGGTGGTGGTGTGGCTGGACCGTCCAACAGTCTCGCGGTGGACATGACGGTGCTGCAGACCTCCTCGGATCGTGTCATGTATCTCCGCGGCGTTGTGGGCTCGAACGACGGTCGCGTCGACGTCTTCTCGGAGCACAACTATGTGTTTGGTTTTGTTGCCCACGACACGCCGGTGGTGGCGGTCAGCGCCATCTACAGCGGCTGCGCCTCGCAGGAGGGCGACAGGGACGGGGCCCGCTTGAATAATGGCGGGGACGGCGGCGTTGTGCTCCCACCATTCGGAAACGACGACGAGCGCCGCTTCGAGAATGCGACGGCGAACATGGGCTTCGTCACATGCGGCAGCGACGGTGTCCTGTACGTGTGGAAGCGGCAGGGCCTCTACCTCAAACCGAGGGTTCTAGAAAAGAGCGCATTCTTCTCGCGGACAATCAAGTGGCAGGTGGTGCAGCCGTCATGCCGCGACTGGCTGCTGGGCGGCATGTGCACTGGGCGGGTGCCGCTGGTGGTGCACACGACACCGGGCCTCGAGCACGAGCTGCGCGCACGCAGCAGCGTCACCTTCGACGACGCAGAGCCGCGCGTGGAGCT